TATATGACAAATCCACACCTAACATCATACTCCAGTGGTGAAAAGCTGAAAGCTCTAAAATCAGGAACAAGACAAGGATGCCCACTCTCTTCACTTCTGTTTGACATAGTATTAGAATTCCTAGCCACAGCAATCAGACAAGAAAAAGCAATAAAAGGCATCCAAATTCAAAGGGAAGAAGAAAAACTATCACTTTCTGCAGATGACAAGATAGTATATTAATAAAATCCTAAAGTTGCCACCAGAAAATTATTAGAACTAATATATGAATTCAATAAAGTTGCAAGATACAAGACTAATACACAAAAATCTGTTGCTTTTCTATACAAGAAGAAGGAACTATCAGAAAGAGAAAGCAAAAAAAAAAAATCCCAATTACAACAGCATCAAAAAGAATAAATACCTAATAATAAACAACTGAGGTGAAAACCTATACTCTGAAAACTATAAGGCATTGAGGAAGGAAACTGAAGATGACACAAACAAATGAAAACATATCCTGTGTTCGTGACTGGAAGAATTAGTATTAAAATGTCCATAATACTCAATCTACAGATTTAATGGAAGGCCTATCAAAATTTCCATGATATCTTCCATAGAATCAGAAAAATAATCCTAAAATTTGTATGGAACCACAAAAGATTCCAAAGAGCCAAAGCAATCTTGAAGAAAAAGAACCAAGTTGGAGGCATCATGCTTCCTGATTTGAGACTATACTACAAAGCTACAAGTATTCAAAACAGCATGGTACTAGCACCAAAAAAGACACACAGATCAATGGGCTAGAACAGAGAGCCCTCCAAAAAACCTACATACTTATGGGCATTAATCTATGACAAAGGAGGTGAGAATATACAATGGGGAAAAGACAGTCTCTCCAATAAGTGGTGCTGAGAAAACTAAACAGGTACATGTAAAATAATGAAATTAGAAGATTTTCTCACACCATATACAAAAATAAACTCAAAATGAGTCGAAGACCTAAATATAAGACCAGAAACCATAAAACTCCTAGAAGAAAACATTCTGACATAAATTGCAGCAATATTTTCTTGGATCTGTCTCCCAAAGCATAGGAAACAAAAGAAAAAATAAACAAACGGGGCCTAACTAAACTTAAAAGCATTTGCACAGCAAAGGAAACCATCAACATAACAAAAAGACAACCTACTGAGTGGGAGAATATATTCTCAAATGATTTGACCAATAAGGGATTAATATCCAAAATATATAATCAGCTCATAAACTCAGTATCAAAAAAAACAACCTGATTAAAAAATGGGCAGACAATCTGAATAGACATTTTTCTAAAGAAGACATACAGATCTCCAACAGGCACATGAAAAGATGCTCAACCTCACTAATAATCAGGGAAATGCAAACCAAAACTACAATGAGATGTATCACCTCCTATCTGTCAGAACGGTCATCATCAAAAAGACAACAAATAACAAACGTTGGCAAGGATGTGGAGAAAAGGGAATGATGTTGGTGCAAATTTTAACTGGTGTAGCCTATGTGGAAAATAGCATGGAGGTTCTCCAAAAAACTAAAAACAGAACCACCATAGGATCTAGAAATTCCACACCTGAGTCTATATCCAAAGAAAACAAAACACTAATATGAAAAGTTACATGAACTCTAATGTTCATAGCAGTATTATTTACAATAGCCAAGATATGGAAGTAACCTAGGGGTCCATTAACAGATTAATGTTTATATATATATATATACACACACACACACACACACATATATATATATATACACACATACACACAATAAAATTTACTTAGACATAAAAGAGAATAAAACTTTACTACTTGCAACAACACAGATGAACCTAGAGAATATTATGCTTAGTGAAATAAGTCAGACAGAGAAAGACAAATCCTGTATCTTATTCACTGTACATGTGGAATCTAAAAAATAGACAAACAAATGAATATAACAAAACAGAAACAGACTCACAGATACAGAGAACAAACTGATGGTTACCAGTGGGGAGAAGGAAGAGGGTAGGGATGATTTACAGGTAGGGAATTAAGGGTACAAACTACTACGCATGAATTAAATAAGCTACAAGGATATATTGTACAGCACCGAAAATACAGCCAATATTTTAAAATAACTGTAAATGGAGTATAATCTTAAAAAAGATTGAATGACTATATTGTACAATTGAAACTAACAGAATACTGTAGCATAAAATAACTATAGTTCAATAAAAAAATTTTTTTTAATACTGTATTTCTCTGGTAAGTTCAGTGGATATAACAAAA